AAGCAAATGCAAGGCACAGAGCTCCACGGCTTGCCGTCTTCCTAGCGCTGAGGTCCCTATGGCACCAGCTAGTCCTGCAGGGAAGGTAAAGATGACGTTTAGCTGATTGCCCGCTGGATACAGCTAGGATCAAATGCCTACAGAAAAAAAAAAAAAAAAAAGCTATCAGAGAGACATTGGCTCCAAATGACATCAGCCCATTTCTAACCTCCGCCAGCCTTCAACACATGGGCTCTGCCCCACTGCTTTCCTGCTCTAAAGCCATTTCTGTTCTCCAAGTAGCTGCTCTCCTCTCTGTGCCGCTGAGGGCCCTGTGCCCACGCAGCAGTCCCGTGGCTTATTTTGTGCGCTGAGAGGGATGCAAAAGAGCCAAACCAAAGCAAAGCAGCCACTATCAGGCCCTCTACCTGCCGGAGCCACCTCCTTCACGAGGATTTCAAACCAGCCACACCAGCTGCTTATCCAGTAGCGCTGCCGGCAGCACCCACTCCCTGTCCTTATCACCCTGCACAAGTCCAGATCCGCGTAGCTCCCTGCCTGGCCGGCTTCCCGCATTTCACTGGGCTGAGTCACATCAGTGCCATAGAGATAGTTCTTTTTTTAACCATTGAAAATCTCTCTGAGTAGATTTTGGAGGGGAAACAATTCTAGGTTGGGGGAAAAGGTCTAAATGATGCTCCTGTCCGTTTTCCTCTTGCACTTGTGCAAACTGACAACTGGTTCCCTCTCTGAGCCTGACACACTCTAAAATTGTGCTTACACCTTCCCCAGTATGAACTTTCTGGTGGAAAAATCTTAGCTAACTCCATTATGAACACAGCTAATGATCTGCTTTTCCTGCAGCTAAGAAAGGCTTGTCATAAAACTCAGAGCTGCCTTCTCATTAACTAGCAGCATTTCCTAAGCAGAAAGCTAATTCCCCTTCATTTCCTCTGCGACTCTACTTCCAGCGCACCTGACACCGATCGCTTTCGGACTGGCCCATTTTAAAAATCATAATCGGTTCTGTCTTTTTCCCAGCGAGGTGACTTTTAATCTTCCCTTAATGATAACTCCCCGCTGGGAAGCCAGGGAGTCTGGCTCTCCCCTAGCTTAGGCCAGGCTCACGTCACTGCCTTTGCTGAAGCTGCTGCCTCCGTTCCAGCTTCTGTAGCATAAAAAAGCCTCTTATATCAATCTATATAGAGAGAAGAGCTATAGAGTGTTCATAGGTTATTATCATCTGACCTACACAACTCTGCCCGTCGGGCTACCCAGTGAGCTTAACTGCCACGTTACGTCTTTTGGAGAGCCTCCAAGTGCTAAAACAACTGCAGCACCTCTTGCTCCCAGTTCTCCACCTTCTCTGTGGAGAATAACATCCTCACACTGTCCTGGGAAAACACAGCCTGGGCACCCTTCCCACACCGGTCCAGAGGAATTTGAGGAAAACTGCCAGGCCTAGCTGCGCGCGTTTGGATATTGTCTGAGTTTTGTTGCCGTTGGCGCTAGACACAGATCAGGAGGGCACCGCTTAATTACATCTCGCTAAACTCGAGGCCATGACGATGCCAAGAAGATGCGTGGCACCTGGGGGGAGGGTTGGGATACTGAGAGGTTGCCTCGTTTTCCTCCTTTCTCCGACTAGAAGTCTCCGTCTGTGTCACCTGGACACTGGGTGGAGGTTAAGCCGCAGGACTAGGCCTCGTGCCAACCAAGCGAATCCTGTGTCTTTTCTCCGTGCCAGGGCAAGGCCTTTTATGTCACTAGAATCACAGCAATTCTGTAAGCAGCAGCCAGGCCACGGGCCTGTGCTCTGGTCAGCAGCAGAGCCCGGTTGCTATGTCCTGCGTGTGTGAGGAAGATGAAGGAGGGGACACCGAGCGCTTTGGGCCTGTGCTGGCCAGATGCAGAGCCCTGATGGGGCAGACACAAAGCCAGGCTGCAGCCAACCACACATGCGGGGCACCCGAATCGGTGCAGAATCTCATCCCCCTCGGCCACCTCTGCACAGCCTTTCTCCGGTGACTTGCTTTGATGTCATATTCTGTGAGACCTGTCATTTTTCCCATGGGGACATATTCCTCCTGGGCTGCAGCCAACTGCAAGGATATTGATCCAGGATGAGGCAGGCACTCATCTCCTCCTCCCCTGGCCATCTTGGAGCCTAGAGGACACGGATTTAGATGATAATTACAACGGGGAATGGAAAACGCCATCTGGGATGTAGCCACTGACCCCAGGAAAGGCTCTTGCTCCCTGCAGTGTCTGGGAGACCTCCTGAAGGGCTGCCCATCGTGAAGTTATCGATGGTATAAAAGTAACCCCAATTTGGGGGTGTCTCTGCTGGGGAGAGCCGAGCAAATGACTGCGCATGAGACAGCCCTGCCTTGAGGGCTCCTCTGGGATCAGGGCTTCTCTGTCAGAAACCAAGGCAGGGACCCTGCTTCCTGGCATCTGCTATCTGAAAAATAATCTGCCGTCATGTGGAAAGGCCCTGGGGCGGAGGAGGGAGCCAGCAGCTAAGCCAGGGGAGGGAGCAGGGAGGATGCGTTGGGAGCGCGCACGATCCTGAGCATCATGGAAATAAATATGGGAGATTCGACCCTTTCGGTAAAGGAAGACGGGAACAGGGATTGTGGGGTTGACTGATGAAATCAAACTGAAAAGTCACATGAGGAGCTGTGGCAGAGGCAGGGAGCATGCCAAGATTTCCTCTTCTCAGCACCTAAATCTCCTCCTTTCTATCTCTTCTAATGTCTCTTTTATTTCTCCCTTGTGAAAGCATCGTGAGCAGCTTATTTTTCTCTTGAAATCCTTTGCAACTGAAATGACTGAATTTCTGCCAGTCGCCGAGATTAGTCCCTGCCCCAAATGCAGTGCCTGGCTCTCCATCTCTATTTCCCCATGGGATAAATCACTCTCAGGATTAGGTTTCCAGTGCAGCATTTCCACTCCTATTCTCTCTATGCCTTCCCTCCCCTGCGCAGAGCCACTTCGTGCTGCAGAGACCCAGACGATGCTCTTCCCTCACGCGTGGCCTTGCACAGATCTGAACGCTCCAAATCATACTCGTAGCTTCATGATCCAGCTTTCCATTTGAGTTTGGTTCAGGCCAAGAGAGGTGCCCTGCAACAGAGGTGTGCAAGAGACCCAGACGATGCTCTTCCCTCACACGTGGCCTTGCACAGACCTGAACGCTCCAAATCATAGTCATAGCTTCATGATCCAGCTTTCCAGATGAGTTTGGTCCCCTGCAACAGAGGTGTGCGATGTGAAAGTATTAACAGTTATTTGTGTGTTTTGGGACAACCTGTGCATAGCAAACAGGTTGAGATCTGCAGGGGAGAAGCCTCGTGCTGAGCAGCAGCACTACGTGTGCCTCCAGCTCCGGCGGCTGCATTTCAGGTTCCTCAGGTGCCCAGAAACTTCCCCTGTGCGTCTCCCTTGGGGGAAGCTGGATTGCAGAGCAGCAAGCATGGGGGAAGCTGCTGCTGATCTTCCCTGTTTGCATTTGATGGTTGCAGCAGCCAGCTGGCTCCTCCTGAGGTTGATGCTGGGTCAATAATGACAGGGAGATGGGAATAAAATGCCACAGGAGTATGGAAATGGTCAGGACAAAACTGCAATTGCACATACGCGATTTTCTGCCCCTCTTTCTAAGCTCCTGACTAGCTTTAAACTTGTCACCCACTAAATTATGGACGCAATGGAACTGGCGCCGTGGAAGGCATTGAAAGGGAGACTAATCCTGAGCGCATGTGAGCAGGAGCAGCACCTCCACAGACACATTGCCAGCAGTGAAGAGAAATGCAGCAGATGTGGTATCTGCTGGGATGAGCGAAAAAAAAAAAAAAAATAGATGCTCTCTGGAAGCCACTGCGCTAAAACTGAATTAGGTGGTGAGCGCAGGATGCTACCCCGGCATGTTTCGCTGTCATTTGCCCCTGCAATTAGGCCTGATGATGCTGTAACAACCCCTAAAAGCACTTTTTCAAGATAATTCAGAGGCTGCGTGATGGCCACGCAGTAACTACAGCTCCCTCCATAAACGATGCGTGTCGGGGGTGACCACACAGCATTACCCAACCGCGGCAGTTGGGGATCTTGCACCAACTTGCACTGCACGGGGAGATCTCGCAAGCGGGCCCTGTCTCAAAAGCCTCACAGGGTGCAGCCCTGCAAGCCAGTCCTGCTGGAAACAGGCAGGACGGATGCAGGAGCCCTCGCGCTC